GAGGAAGAAGACCCCCTTAAATAGGTCCCCATGAATCTGCCCGTTATGTGCAGAAACCTGTAGGACCGGTACAACCGGTGCACGAACTGGTACAACCGGCCAAAGCAGAGGAAAAACGAACCTGGGAAAAGCTCTAAGCGGTACAACAGCCTGGGGAACCGGTAGTACCGGTTAGACCGGTTAAACCGGTCAACAACCGCCCAAGAACCGCTCCAAAACAGAAACTAGTCCGGTGGTAGAGCGGTACATGGCCGGTACAACCTCCGGACCAATTCTGGAGCGGTACAACCGCTCCAAACACCGGTTGTACCGGTCAACCGGTACAACCTCTCTACGGGGCGGTACAACCTCTCTATGTAAAACAGGCAATATCAAAACAGCCACAACTTTCGCATATGAGCTCCGAATTCGATGAAACCAAGTTTGTTGGAAAGCTAGCAACAAGGGATAACATAATCTTGATAGAAATATCAATAAGAAGCAAATGAGAAAAGGCCCATAATAAAATGGTGAGAACCCTTCCTTGGATAAGAGCGGTAAAACCTCCAACACCGAAAACATCATAGAAGACGCATGCGAACTCCGTTTTCGATGAACTCAAGCTTGTCATCAAGATGACCATAAGCTCTAAGACTCACAAAGAGAAACAAACAAGAACCAATAAACATGATGCAAGGATGCAATGGTTTGAGCTCTCTACTAACGATACGATCAAGCTACCAACTTGAGAGCCCCCCTTGATAGTACGGCAAACGATCATATAACCCGGTCTCCCTACTACCACCATGAGACCGGTAAAATAGAAAACCTATCAAGGGAAAACCTCTGCCTTGCACATGGTCCACTTGAGCTAGATGATGACGATCTTGACTCCCTCAAGATGGACCACCTTTCTTGATTGCGTTGGCTCGATGAAGACTAGATGATTGCTCCCCCATAGTCCATTATGGGTGAGCCACTCTTCGGCTCATCTTCACAAGTCCATTGACACCACAATGGATGGCAAGATTCAAGCACTTGATCTCTTCGTGATGCTCCACTTGAACTTGCACACGGCAATCTTGATGACGATCACCACTTGATGTCATCCTTTCCATGGGTTGTATGATATCTTCCTCTTGATGCAAGCCCATGGATACATACCTAACCCCACATAGAACTCTCACATAGACCATGGGTTAGTACACAAAGTGCAATGGACAAAGCTTACCATACCATGGGATCACTTGATACCTCTCGGTACATCTTCTACGCTTTGTGAGTTGATCAACTTGATTCACTATTGACTTAGTCTTGATCAACCTTAAATCTTTGCAACTCTCTTCATTTGGATGATGTATTGAAGGTAAACATGAATGATCACACAACCTTCTTCTTCTTCAAGACATGCTTGCAATAAGCTCAACACTCGCATGACCAATCTTTGGATAATTCCTTAATAGCACCTTGGTCAACTCATAAACTCCTTGAAACCAACACATGGACTTCAAGAAAATCCTATGGACAAATCCTTCAAATATAACTCAAGACAACCATTAGTCCATAGAGATTGTCATCAATTACCAAAACCAAACATGGGGGCACTGCATGTTCTTTCATTTGGGAAGGTTCTCTTCCTTATCCTATTATCATTGGATAGTACTTGTCGTTTTCTACCCAACTAGCTTGAGTTTGCTGATTTTAGATCCTCGAGGATAAGGATACCAGGCCGAGAAACCCGGGCAAGTACTCCCTTAATGTGCCGATCGCTAGCGCATCCAGGGCCCCGGCGCCCAGCTCTGCTGGAGAGGCCGTCACTGATCTGAAAAGTGCGTCTGCGGTTCGGATAGACTGATTTTGCGAACGCCTAGCCCCAGGAATCAATAAAAAAACAAGTGCTAAGTTTCATTTCAGATCAGTGAATAAACCAAAAAAGAGACCTTTCTCGCTCGACGCCACACTATGCTCCGCTTCAACGTTTGCAGAAGTTATGGCAGTTCTGGTCTTCTTACTTCCATATGTTTTGCTTGCGCTATTTTGAAGCTCTCTAGCAGTAGTATCGCTTGCGCGGTACTTCCGTAGTCCAGTGCCATGAGCACTACCGCTTATATTTGGACTACTAGACTATTTTCCGCATCGGCGGTTGTAGGGCACGGTAGTACCGCTCCTACCCCAGCGGTAGTACCTCTTGACGCGGTACTTCTGCTGCCTACTACTATCACACTTCCACTTAGCTTTTTTGCTCTGTAGTCCCTTGCAGCTTTCACAGTACTAGGGGGTAGTACTGCCCAGTAGTACTGCTTAGCGCGGTACTACCGCTTTGTTGATCAACTTAGTACCGCAGTTCTCTAGGTACTGCCGCATGAAGCGGTAGTACCGCTTTACTGCGGGTTGTGCCATAACAGTTGGATTTGTCCCCACCTATAAATTGGGTATTCTCCCCAATGGATCTTATCCATTGAGATCATGTTTGCCCTGCATTGTTGACCTTCTTTGAGCTTGCGATCTCTCAATCCCTCCAATGATTATTGCTAATTCTTGAAAAAAAAGAGAAAGGAGATCTAAATCCACATTTCCACCAATCACTTTCCCCTCTTAAGTGAGGGGAACCACTTTGGATCTAGACTTGGAGCTCTTTGTGTTCTTCTCTTTGTTCTTCCTCTCATTTTTCTCCATAGCATTAGTTGTTGTGGTGGGATTTGGGAGAGAATGACTTGGGCATTTCGTGTGCCCTTGTCATTGCATTTGGTGCATAGGTTTGAGTTCTCCACGATGATACGTGGAAGTGAAGTTTGTGTAGCTTATTACTCTTGGGTGCTTGGTACCCTAGAGCTTATTCCTTTTGGGTGCTTGGGTGCCCTAGATGGTTGGTGGTGTCGCAGAGCTCAATCATTGTGGTGGAAAGCTTCGAGCCAAGCGTCGAGGTCTTCAATTAAATTGTGAAGATTCCCCCGAGCAATTTGTATGGGTTCCGGTGACCGCCCCCAAGGGTTGTCAATTGTACGGGTTCGGTGACCGCCCCAAGGGTTGCTATTTGTACTGGTTCGGTGATCGCCTGAAGGGTCTCTTACTGGAATTACGACATCTTGCATTATGCGAGGGAGTGAGGAGATTACAGTGGCCCTAATGGCATTTTGGCGAGCATTATGCCTTCACACCACTTCAAATGGAGATTAGAATCCGCAAGTGTGTGAACTTCGAGATACATCGTCGTCTTTACGTGCCTTGGTTATCTCTTACCCGAGCCCCACCTTGTGATAGTCATAGTGTTACATGTTATATATCTGCTATCACTTAGTTGTTTATCTTACCTAGCATATGTTGTTGGTGCACATAGGTGAGCCTACTCGATTTAGGTTTTATGCTTGACAAATAAAATGCTATTTCTATCTCGCATTTGTTCACATCCACCATTTGCGTAGATAGAAATAAGCATTTGTTCACTTGACAAATAAAATTTCCACCATATTCTACGACTAATTCAAGGCATTATGCCAGGTTATTTGGATTTTTGATAAATTTTGCATTTTCTGATGTTTTCTCGGTGAAAAGGGACCAATAAATGGTTGGACATGTCGCAACGTGCAAACGGTGTCAGAAGTCATTCGGGTCTATGCCTCATATGTCCGTGCCATACTGCTGCAAGAAGAGACATTTATCCATAGTCCAGAAAACCACAAGTTCAGAGGAGTGTGCTAGATTAGACTAGACGGGTGCATCCATGACAATGTAGTTTTTTTTAATTCGAATGATTTTATTATTTGCATTTTCTATCATTATCAATCAACATGAACATTTTCTTATGTTCTAGCCATTTCTTTAAAAATTTCAATAATTTTGAAATTCTAAATTGTGTATGAAAATTGTATAAAATCAAACACATTTTTCAAAATTGCTAACAAATTCCTAACAATTGATGTTGACCACAAATTTCAGAGCATGTACTTTAAAAAACAACTATTTTTTAAACACAAACATTTCTTAATTTTGTGAACAAAAAAATCAAAAATGAAAACATTTATAAACATTTTAAACAAAATTTAAAGATAAGAACATTTTTTGGCATTCCCAAGAATATTTCAAATTTTTGAACAGATTTCTAAAATAATAATAATGTTCAGAAAAGAGAAAAAGAATTAACATAAAACGAAAGATAGAAAAGAAAAAACTTTTAGGGCTTGGCCCTCACTAGGCGACGCCATTGCTCCCGTTGGGCCGAAAAAAGCATTCACGGATTCAGGGATTTGCAAAAAGTGCATCTCTTTTTTCGCAATATTTTTGTAAAAAATCTGAGATTTTGAAAAAGGAAAATAATCCACCAATTTGCGAAATTTTTCTAAAATTTGGGAATCCTTTTGTAAAAAAAATTCTACCTATACAAAAAAACTGGTTTGTAAAAAAATTGTAAATTTTGTACAGATTTTAGAAAAACTTTCACTAAAAAAGTTGCAAAAAAATTCATGAAACTGAAAAGGATTCACAAATTTGAGAAAAAGCCGCCGGCGCCAAGGACGGTAGAAAGACCTTTTTTAGGGAAAGACGGTGGATATACCTATTTACCGCTCCTTGCGACAAATTGTGGCTCAATCACACAGAGGCGAGCGAGCTAGTGACTACCCTTAATTAGAAGGGGGTATAGAGAGATCTCATTCATTGTTGTGTTTAGGGGGTTGTACCGAAGCAGAAGTGGCAGATAAAACCTGACAATTTGGAGCACACATAGCAAGAGTCGACAACTCAAACTAACTTGCTATACATACTGTCGCTCACAACACATGGCGTTTTCACAACTTTGCTGATTACAAAGAGATCACAACTTTGCTGACTACAAAGAGATCACGATTACAAATGAGTTATGGTTGAGCACAGGAAATGTTACATCTTACATCTGACAAGCATTCATAGAACGGAACAGGGGGGCGGGGAGAGGGCAACATTAGTCCTTTTCATGTTTGTTATCTTTGCGCCACATACACACACCTATCGAGATAAATACACTTCCTTCCTCTCACATATTATTGTTACTTCCACAGCTTGACAGATTTGTCGTGGCTCGCGGAAGCCACCATCCCGGTTACCGGTGATTGTGCCAACGCGGCAATTACACCTTCGTGAGCTTGTACCGTCATAATTTGGTTGTTTACCATGTCCCATAGCTCCAAAGACTGCACCGATGATAAATTTTGAGTGAATTCCAGTACTTACCCCCCTTACTTTGACATTTCTTACGCGAATTACCTCATTTAACAATTTTTCATCCGGATTACCCCATTAGCGATTGTTGTGCCAACTTTTAACCCTTTTAACGAATTTTATGTTGCGGATATATAGCTCCTCTACTGGTTGTTTTGCCAGGCAAAGGGTCGATGGAGTTATGTCTACTAACAGTTATATCAGAGTCCCGCAAAAAAAACAGTTATATCAGAGGCTGATACTTGGATTTTTTGCCACTTTCAGAGGATAATTTATGTCTACTAATTTACAGCGCCTTTTGCCAACTTTTACCCCATTTTAAAGAATCTTATGTTCAGGATTACCCCGTATATGATACTAAAGTACGGAAAACAATAACATCAAAATTTATTGTTAACATGTTATATAAGCTAATAACAGGACCCAAACATTACAAGACATATCAACATAGCTTCGGCTAGCATATGGATGTTATAGGGAAATATTAGCAGCCTTCAAATTATAAATAGAAAAAAAAGTTTAACAACAAAGAAGAAATGAAAATTTCTAAAGATAGCTAATTAACTTTACTGGTAGAAAAGTACAAGGGTACACACTTTGCAAAAGCAATTAGACATGCTTCAAATGCAGAAAATAAAGAGTTTGAAACTCAAATGTTTGAGCGAGTGCTACCTGGTAGCCTCCAATCACCAAGAGGTTGGTATAACTTGGGTGGAACACACAAGAATAGAACCTATTTCCATTTGAGCTGACCTCATGAATGCACTCTCCTGATGATACTGACCACACCTTAACTAGATCCTGGCTGACAGACGCAAGGTACTCCCCAGTGTTGTCCCAGCACACTGACTGCACGTCTTTGTTATGGCCCTGAGATTATAATCAACGCTTAAGTTTCATGATTTCTTGGTACAATATGATTGATTACAAGCACAGCCATATTAAAAAAGACTCCCAACGACAAGGGATTTGGAATGTGCATTTGCAGAGGCAATAACAGAAAACATTGCAGATAAACTTCTCATGAAAGAAATGAAACAGTGCAACATCGATGCGTTTGTGTTGAAAAATCAGCACAACCACTGCACGCTTATGTTATGGCCCTGAGATTATAATCAAACGCTTTAGTTTGAAGATTACTTGGCACAAACTTAATGGTTGCAGTCACGAGCTCATTTAAAAGAGAGAGGGAGGGAGGGAGGGAGGGAGAGGCAGGAGATTTGAAGTGTGAATGTGCAGGGGCAACAACACAAGAAAACATTGCAAATGAACTTCTCATTGAAAGAAATGAAACATTGCAACATTGATGCATCTGTGTTCAAAACAGACCTGCAAGGTGTACTTTTTGGTACGTGTGTCAACGTCAAATATAGAGACAACATTTCCTGTAGTAGCTGCGAGTAATTGTCCAGTGCTAGGTTGGAAACGAACGAGAGGACCGTCCCGTCCAAAGTCAGACTTACAAAACAGCAAATTATTCAATCATATTGTATAAGTTATTAAGAAGATTTTAAGGGATCAGAAAGAAGAGTGCCGACCTTCATGGCACCCAGATAGGTAAGCTGAGTCACGTCCCAGTACCGGATTTCACCATTCCTATCACAAGAACACAAAAGGTCTGTCTTCTTTGGATGAAAATCTAGTGACACAATTGGATATTTATGCCCAGAGAATGTATGATGAGAGAATCGAGTCTGCCAAACAAGAAATTGAAGTTTCAAGCAATATACAAAGTGCAAACACACAGATAATACACATATATGAATTATGCTCTCTAATTCATTTTCACAATAGTCATGTTTCATATTATAATCCGAGTCATGAATAATCTAGATAACTGAAATAACCTCCACAGCCTTTTCCAGTACTCTAGTAGTGGTAGGTACATCGAGAATGGCGTTTTGGCTCCCGGGAGCGCGCACTTCCCGCATGAATAGTAAACAAAAAATATATAGTAAATGTTTTCAAAAATTTCTGAATTTTTTGTTGATGTTCCTATTAGTGTCGCAAGCATTCTTGAAAAATTTTATGCGAAACAGAGCAGCGGCTTTTCTCCGGTGAAAAAAAAAACAAATTTAGGCTGACATTTGGGGTAACATTTGGTGTTTTTTTTTGTTTTTTTTAAACAGGACAAAATGTTTAATCTTTTTGCCTACAAATTTGTATGTAGCACTTGGATGTGACAAAGAACACATAGAATTTTTTGTTGGAAATTTTTTTGGCATTTAAAAAAAATATTTTTGCGTGCAGGAGCGCGCGCTCCCGGAGCACCAACAGATTTCCGTAAGTATATCTTAGTACTGAGAAGTGGAGTGCGTGGGCGATTCGAGGGGCAGCTAGGGTTTTGAGAGCCGCCACCTACACATCTCCCACCCCCCCTCCTCACCGCCACCCGAGAAGGTCGCCGGGCAAGCCCGCAGGGCCACCGGTGACGGTGACGGCAAGGTCTTCGTAGCTCCGTTCGCGGAGGTATGGATCCACGGGGCGGCGGTGTGTGCAAGGGGTTCAGGTCGGCGTCCTCGGCCGAAGGGGTGGTGGGGCGTCGGCGCTTGGCGGCAACAGCGTGGAGGCCTTCTTCCTCGCCAGATCTGAAGGTTTGTTGCTCCCTCCTTCCCGCCCCTTTCCCTTTGCGCATGTTGCCAGCGGCTTCTGCTGGATCTGGTGCTTTTGGGGATGGTGGTGTAGATCGGGGCCGGGGAAAACCCTAGGTTCGGCCCGGCAGCGACGTCAGCTTCGGGTGTCGTATTCTTCTTGGAGGCGGTGTCGTGGTTCCTTTTCTTGCCACCTCTGTTTCTTCTCCCGGGTGAAAACCCAAAATCCGGCTTGGTTGGGCAGTGGTGGCGCCATGCGTGTCATCCCATCCATGGAGGTGTTGCCTGGGGAGCTATGGATTCGTGTGTGGGTTGTTGAAGGTAGGGGCTTTAGCCGGCGGCTGGTTCCTGCGGGTGCAGTGCTGAGGTGTTGTCCCGCTGCCCTGTTGTCTGCCTCTCTGTTGCTGTCAGGTGCTCTAGGTCCGGGTCAATGTGTCTGGCATGGTGAGTTGTCTTCGTCACGAAGGTCAAGATCTGTGGGTGCCCTGGATTTTGAGTTTGGCTCTCTCTAGCTCTCGGTGAGCATCTCCCAAGTCCGATGGTGAGCGTCTTTTCAGACAAGACGTGAGGGTTGTGGCCCTCTTCGGTGGTGGAGGGAGGTGCTACGTTCAACCTCTTCAGTGCTCATCCTTGTTCTTGCCGTCCATTCAGTTCAAGTTGTCCCAGCGGTGCTTCCACTGTTCTTTGTCCTTGGCGCCTGAGAGTTGCGGTCATTTGCTTCTGCTAGTTGTGCTCCATCTCTATATCTCTAGTTACTAGCTTTGCGATGTGTTGTAAGTTGTGGAGAGTGTCCCATTGTATCTTTCGGGCGTTTCCTGATGTTTCTCTTCATGTTGTTTGTATTATGTGTCGTGTAATCTTGGCCGGTTGATGGCTTTGTTAATTCAAAGCCGGATTAGGTCCGAGCCTACTTCAGGCTCGGGCTGAGCCTTTTCAGTAATGAGGCATAAAAGAAATAGGCCCCCATAAATAATATTTGGTCAGCATACCATTGAGTGCATGTTGGGCAAACTTTGGCAAAACTCAGTGGAAGTAGATTTGAGCAGTAAAAATTTAAACTGGACAATAGTTTTCCAATTTATTATCGATTACTTGCGTAAAAGAGAAGCATGAACTACGCCGAACACATGAAGCTTGGTACCGAGGCTTATTTGTTGTATCGCTTGGTCTAGGTTACGATACACATTGCCTAGCCTGTTTTTCCAAAAAAAGAAAAATCACTGACATGTACCAACAAGGTATGGTTGCGGGCGTGCCGCGTGGGGCCTTGCCACTAGGCTAGCTGCATTCAATAGATATACGTACCAATGTGGTTCGGACGTTCGGTTCGGTTCATATATATATAAAAAACTACTTTCAGGTTTTATTCACAAATTTGAACCAAAATTTTGAACTTCCAGGAAGCTAAGCATAACTTACATCTGTAGCATTCCATAGCTTAATTGTTTTGTCAAAAGCAGATGTTGCCATCTGTGTAGAGTTAGGTCTGAAACAGACATCGGTGATAAGGTAAGCGTGCTCTTCTGGTAAATGATGTGTCTGGAAAGTGTCCATGTTCCAAACTACAGCCTGGGAACAAGAATCAAATGAGGCGCCATATATACTCATGAACACCAAAGGTGCAGAAGCTTCAATCTCAAGAGAAAAAGGTTAATCTTACTCGCACCTTGTTTTCATGTCCAGCACTTGCCAAGATCCTGCCGTCGGAAGAGAAGTTGCAGCAGACTAACTTCCCGCTGCTTCCTGGTCGCCAGCAGTTAACCTGGCTGAAGGTGAAACCTAAGCGAAAAAGGGCAGGTTACATATGCACACGATGGTGTTGGCAAAATACTGGAAAACATCAGAAACACTACTACTACCCTTTGAAGCCGCCGGATCAGGCTCTGACGGGTTTATTTTAAGTTGAGTAAAAACGCCCTTTTCGTCTTCGAGATCATCCTGGTAGACACGACAATCACCTTACATATCTTTCCGACGTATAATGGCCGTAAGTTACATCGGGCAAAGCGTGAGAGTGAGCTACCGTTTGATTTGAAGAGGATGCCAGCCCACCAGTTCCATCCTCACCATATGTCATTGAACCTTTTGGAACATGGCGCATGTTGTCAGCCATTTCAAGAACTTCAGGTGTATCTGTGGATATAATAAGAAATTAAACATAGGTACATAGTGCCAAGCAAATATTCCGTCCCACGACGCTTATTTTGAAACGGAGAACTGTGGGTACATGAGAAAGAAGTTGATTTCAAGTCTGATTACTAGGGATATTAGTTGCAGTAGCCACGGACGCCGACGAGCCCCGCCCTGGCCACGCACCGGAGGTGGATCCGGAGGACCGGTCTCCGGCGGCGAGGAGGAAGAAGAAAGGACGGAGCCGGTAAGAGGGGAGAGGGAGCCGGCGGGGCGAGCTGGTGTGGTGTGAGCCAGTGAGAGGGACGGGCCGATGGTTGTTAGCGAGAAGACTTGGTTAATTAATTAAGGATAATTCTGCTTTCCCCTTATAACCACCGACGGCTGCTCCACATTTTGGCTGGTTTGCCTTTGGCGTGCTGCGGGATTATGACTTCACATAACTTTCTCCGTCTCGGGGTATAGGACAGGCGTGTAGTTTTAGATCATCAATTTGATTAACTAAATATGTGGTAAGATCATCAATTTGATTAACTAAATATGTGGTAAGATCATCAATTTGATTAACTAAATATGTGGTATGTGTCGTAAATATCATATCATTGGATTCATATGTGGATGCAGTTTTCATACAAATATTTTTCATCACATACAAATTAGTGATTACAATACATAATTAGCTAGCTAAATTGTCAACCCAAATGGAGATCACTAGGTTGACAATTTGTATAGGATCGAAACAAGTAATAACAGCTCTTGATCTCTCATTCTATCTCTGTTCAAGAGAGGGGGAAACAATATGTTCATCACTGGTAACGAGTTACAAAAAAGCTGAAGTAAGCCACTGGAACACAATCAAAATTAAGTTGTGGAATACCTCAAAAAAGTTGTTGAATGTTTCAAAAAAAAAGTTGTTGAACACGAGAACAGCGTATGCATGTGGCACTGCAAAAAGAAGAAAAAAAAGGACGACTCCCTCTGGAAAAAAAACTTATAAATAATTCCTTCTGAAGCTGTAACATAAGAACACTAAGATAGTGATTAAATTATCAGCTTGACATCTCAAAACCTGACGGATTGCACACTTCAAAACCTGACAAACTGGAGCATTGCATACCAATAGTTGCTAGCAGCAGCGAACGAATTTCAAGCAGAAGATCAAACACGAACAGCAGCAGTAACAACTCAGAACTAACTTACCATATTCTGTCGCTCGCAAGACCCACGATTTCACAACCAACCGACAGAGGCTAATTGCAACGAGTTCTTCCAGTTAAGCACTGGAATGTTACATTTCTTCTTTCCTGTCTTTGCGCTACACACACACCACCAATCAAGATACATATACAGTTCCTTCCGCAGGCTCGCCGCAACCAGCCCTAAACAGCTCGGCCGCGGCGGGCAACCAGCCAAGCTACTCTTTCCTTATTCGCCTTGATGGAGGTACAACACAATCGACAACAACTCATTCTATGCCTCGACTGATGGAATATCAATTTATCTGGAGAAGAAGAAAAAACTATCTAGGCGCATCGGCTTTATTATTATTATTGTTACTTCCACAACTTGACGGAGTTGTCGTGGCTCGCAGAAGCCACCATACCGGTTACCGGTGATTGTGCCAACGACGCAATCAGACCATCGTGAGCCGGCACCGTCATGCTTTGGTTCTTTACCATGTTCCATAGCTCCAAGGACTGCACCGACAAAAATGCCCACGATAAATTTTTAGTGAGTATAAAGCACAAAACAGTCACATCAGAGTTTGAGTAGCATATGGCTAAATACTCCCTCTGTAAACTACTCCCTCCGTCCGAAAATACTTGTCCTAGAAATAGATAAAATTGATGTATCTATAACTAAAATAAGTCTAGATACAACCATTTTTAGGACAAGTATTTTCGGACGGAGGGAGCAATAGTTTACAAAGGGAGTAGGAAATTACTAGCAATCTTATGTTATAATTAAAGTAATTCCTTGTCAGACGAGATGAACAAAAATGACTAAAGATGTTCATTGGCAAAAATAATACTCCGTCCGTCCCAAAATTCTTGTCTTAGATTTGTCTAGACGTGACTTGATACATCCGTATCTAGACAAATCTAAGACAAGAATTTTGGGACGGACGGAGTACAAGGGTGCACACTTCACAAAACAATTGGACATAATCCTAATGCAGAATATTAAAATTTAAAACTCAATTGAAGAGCAAGTACTACCTGGTAGCCTCCAATCACCAAGAGATTGGTATAACTTGGGTGGAACACACAAGAATGGAACTTATTTCCATTTGAGCTGACCTCATGAATGCACTCTCCTGATGATACTGACCACACCTTAACTAGATCCTGGCTGACAGACGCAAGGTACTCCCCAGTGTTGTCCCAGCACACTGACTGCACGTCTGTGTTATGGCCCTGAGATTATAATCAACGCTTAAGTTTCATCATTTCTTGGTACAATCTGATTGATTACAAGCACAGCCACATTAAAAAAAAAACTCCCAATGACGAGGGATTTGGAATGTGCATTTGCGGAGGCAATAACAGAAAACATTGCAGATAAACTTCTCATGAAAGAAATGAAACAGTGCAACATCGATGCGTTTGTGTTGAAAAACAGACCTGCAGGGTGTACTTTTTGGTATGTGTTTCAACATCAAATATGGAGACAATACTTTCACTAGCAGCTGCAAGAAACTGTCCGGTGCTAGGTTGGAAACGAATTTGAGCAGTACCACCCTGTACAAAAAAATGTAGTCAGACTTACAAAAAGACAGATTATTCAATCACATATTTTTTGTTCATTATATAAGTTATTAAGAAGATTTTCAGGGGCCCTAAAGAAGAGTACCAACCTTTATGACACGAATACAGGAATGCTGAGTCACGTTCCAGTATCGGATTTCACCATTGCCATCACAAGAGCACAAAAGTTCCGTCTTCTTTGGATGAAAATCTAGTGATGTAACACTATAATTATGCCCAGTGAATGTATGCTGCGAGAATGCAGGCTGCCAAACAAGAAATTCAAGTTTCAGGCAATATACAAAATGCAAACATATATACATACAGCTAGTTCAAAATTCAGGGGTCTGATGGTGGCACACTTAAACAATCGCCATATAGTGGATGCATTCACCTCCGATAGTACATTTGTATTATGCTCTAATTTATTTTCACAATGGTCATGTCTCGTATTATAATCTGAGTAACGAATTATATGGATAACTGAAATAACTTCCTCCACCGTTTCCCGTACTCTAGTAGTAGTAAGCACAGATCAGTACTTAGACACAGTGTGCTTGAGCATATAGTGGCTTATGTTGCTATACAAGGCAGTGAGGCATAGCAAAATAGCACCCCTGAGCAATAGTTTGTCAGCATACCATGGAGTGCAATATTGGGCAACATTTGGTGAAACTCACTGGAAAACGGATTTTGGTAGTAAAAATTTAAACTGGACAAACTTCTTCTGTTTTCTTGAATGGTTGCGAAAAAGGAAAAGCACAAACTACGCCAAAGAGATGAGCAGCTTGGTGCCGTTGCTTGTTTGTTGTATCGCTTGGTCAGGAATCCCATGACCGTATCTGCCTTGCCTTGTTTTCTAAAAAAAACACTGAAATGTTGGTATCACAGCTTAAAAGCGTGAAAATAGAACATGCCTTGCATGAGAGTCGAACACGGTATCTACTGGTTGTGTGTGGGGGGTCTTGCCACTAGGCTAGCTGCATTGAATAGATACCAGTATGGTTGGGTCCCGTTCATACAAAAAAATTAGAACAACTTTTGAGTTTGATTCACAAAATTCGAACCAACATTTATGAATTTCCAGAAAACTTAATCTTGTTCTAACAGATATTTTTTGCTGGCACATACATAAACTGATAAGCGTAACTTACATCTGCAATGTTCCATAGTTTAACTGTTCTGTCAAAAGATGAAGTTGCCAGCTGTGTAGAGTTAGGTCTGAAACGGACGTCAGTGATAATGAGACTATGCTCTTCTGGTAAATACTGTGTCTGGAAAGTCTCCATATTCCAAAGTACAGCCTGAGAGAACAAAAATCAAGTAAGGAAGCACACCCATAAACACCAAAGGCAAGCAGGTTCCACTCTTCATAGAAAAAGGCTCATTTATAGCATGGCAGTTACTCATACCTTTTTTTCATGTCCAGCACTTGCCAAGATCTTGCCGTCAGAAGAAAAATTGCAGCAGACTATCTTGCTGTTGCTTGTTCGCCAACAGTTAACCTCGCTGAATGTAAAACCTAAACAAAAAAGGGTATGTTATATATGTGATGTTTGCAAATACTAAAAACATCATAAATGCTACCTTTTGAAGCAGGTGGATTAGGCTCTGTTGGGCTTTTAAGTGCAGCAAAAATATCCCTTGCATCTCCCTCATCATTGGACAAGAAAGATTCAACATTGTCATCCAATGAGCCAACATCACCAAAAGCTTCAAGATCATCCTGTTACATAAAACAATAACCTTACATATCTAACTGGCGTAGAATGGCTGTAACTGTAAGACACATCCAGCACAACATATTAGATGAGAAAAGGTAAATGAGCTACCATTTGATTTGAAGAGGATGCGAGCCCAGTTCCATCCGCACCATACATCATTAGATTTTTTGGAACATGGCGCATATTGCCAGCTACTGCAAGTCCTTCAGGTGTATGTGTGGATGGAGTTGACGGTGGAGAGTTGGCTGAAGGGCCCACCGTATTTCCTGTTCCTGTACTATTTGCTGGGCCTGACGATGTAGCTTGCTTTCTTTTTCTGTTGTTCTGGAGATATACAATTAAACATAGTTACATAACACCAAGCAGATATAATATAAAATAACCGTGACTACATCACAAAGAAGCAAATTTAAAGTTAATCATGCATTCAGATATCTTTTTATGGAAAATCAGTCCACTAGTCAGCATTAATTAGTTCAAATAGCTGAAACAAATAATACAAGGGAAATACA